GCTCGCGCGGCTGCATTCTGGACAAGCTGGAGTCGCCGAATGCTCTTCAAGGGCTGCCCCAAGTAGAGCACGTTGCAGTAGTCCAGCCGAGCTACTAATTACTCTCATTGGGTTTTTTCTGACAGCTGCCTCTTCTCCTTTTTCCTGAGAATAATGTCAGATCAGAGAAGAAAAGGACTTTATTTTCTTTTGAATAATATCTCTTAGTGGGAAAAGGGGTTACCAGAATGCTGGTATTTATCTTACAGGTAGTTCTAGATTTACAAGAATTCATTTATTGAGCATTTGAAGGTACAATAGCACTCAAAGAGCTAACTTACGACCGTTTTTTTCACACCTACGGCTGCTGCAGGATCCCTGTGGTCATATGATCCGAACCAGACGGTTGGCAACTGACTGACGCGGTGTCCCTTTGGCAGCTTCTTCTGTTCTGACTGAATGGAAGGATCTATCTCCGTTGTCAGGTTTCCGAAAGATGCTCCAATTGATTCATGAGCCTCGAGCCAAGTTTCAAAAGAAAACCAGTCATTTATTAGGAGCACCATTTTGGCAAGATCTTATTGCAGTCAGATCTGATCCTCATTTGAGTTATAGCTGAAATTTACCCCTGTTCCTTCCCTCCCCTCAGTCTGTGTCATAAATCACATTCGCCAATGAGGTGCACCCCTCCGAAGCCTGCTGCAGTAATCTGAGATCCGACTCTAGCCGAAAGTATGCATGGAATGCGCTCCCCCGCCCTTTCCTCGCCATGGCAACTTTATGAGTTGACATCCATGATGGTCAGCCCATGGCATGTGTGCCACAGGTGGCATGCAGAGCCCTCTCTGCTGGCACGCGAGCCGTCGCCCCAGCTGAGCTCCACTGCACATGTGCACATGCCTCCCACCGGCCAGCTGGTCTTTGGGTCTCTGCTGCGCATGCAGGCGAGGCCTGATAGGCCCAAAATGGGATGTGGGGTGTGTGTGCATGCGCCCCACTCATGGCCCGTTTTTGGTCCCAGGAGGTTGCAGGGAGGCCCGCCAGGCTGAAAATGGGGGGTCACGGGAAATGTAAGGGGCCGGCCTGTGTCACTTCAGCCCGGTTACCCGCGTGGCTTCAGCGTGGTCTAGCCAATGCAAAGAGGAAGCATGCCAGCAGTTTGGGGAGTGGTGTCAAGCTAGCCACGCCCACGCAGCCACACAGCCACGCCCACCTGCGCCCTTGAGGTCAATCACAGCCCTGGTCCGGCCCTCAATGAAATTGAGTTTGACACCTTTGAGTTATAGGGACAATCCTTTTTGAGGTTCTTTCCCTGCCCGTTAGATAGCTGCAGGCCACGTCCTCTCTTATCTGATTGTTCTGTAGGCAGCACCTGGCCACCCCCCGCCTCCACACCCGGTCTTGCAACATTATTCCCACATACCGTTACATCCTGTTTGGTACGAGCCCCTGCGAGCAGGATCCTAATTAAATCCGACATCCCTTTAAACATGTGCTCAGCTCCGATGTCACTCGGCTTTAATCTCGACTACACCTTGCCTGGAACGAGGGCATTGTTATTCCGGCAAGGAGATTCAATCTGTTGGAGGCAACGCTGAGTTGGGAAGGATGAGTAGGGCTAAAGCACCGCACAAGAAGATGTAGAGGGTGGGAAGAAAGGTAATTGGCTTCCGTGAAAAAAACGAGGAGTGTCAGGCTTCCAAATAGCATCCAAAATTAAATCAGAGTCCAAGGCAAAGTATTGCTCAAAGTTCCAATTGATGAAGAGAGCCATGTTGGCACATCTGGGGAAACCCTGAATCTGAAAGCTTCCCGGTTTTCCCCACCCAGTTGAAAGGTCAAGATCTTGCCCCCCACACCCACAAGCCCATCCCATGGTCCAATTTCCCGCTGCCATGCTGGCAGCTTCCACCCGTCCAGTTCCAGTCAGGTGCAGAAGTGCAGAGACTAAGGATGACCTTGGCTTTCGAGAAAGAATGTTGTTATGGCTACCTCTCATCTAACTCCGCACAATCCCCACCTCCCATTTTCCCACAATAGAAAAGGCATAGTAGAATAAGGGAAAGTGTGGCGGGCCAAAGATCCAAAGGGAATGTGGCGGCAGGAATGACGAGAGGTTTTCATGGGACGATAAGCCTTCTAAGATAGGTCAGACCTGAACATCTGAGCTCAAGAGAGAGGCCGTAAGATGTGAGACCCTTGAGCTCATCTAATCCCCAAACCTCCTGGAGGCACGGCGAGAACCAACGGATGGAAACTAATCAAGGAGAGAAGCAATCCAGAGCTACTAAGGAGATAGAAGTCAGTTTGGCAAGCATCTGAATTTTGATCATGTGACTGTGGAGAAGCTGCGCTGGTCGTAAGTGCGAAAAACAGGGATAAGTCACTTTTTTTTCCAGCGCCGTTGCAACTTCAGTCACTAAATAAATGGTCGTAAGTCCAGGAACGCCTATGATGATTTTTCCAAATATTTTTTTCTTGTGGTGCTTTAGAGAATGGAATGGAACGTAACGTAACGGAGCAGAACAGAAAATAATCGTTGGAAGGGACTTTGGAGGTCTTCTAATCCAGCGGTCACCAATTGGTGGTCCGTGGACCNCGTAATCTGCAGTTATAAAATGAAAGCTGGTGGGAAAATCCTACATGTGCATATTATATCAAAATATGTATTTAATCAATAAAAGAAATGCATGTATAAGAGAACCGGTTGTTAAATTATTTGAATCCCACCACTGATACCACTATATAACTTGGAGTTATCTCCCAATAAATGGCCCTTCTTCCCCTTCTCTTTTGGATACGTGTGCAAAAACACAGAGCTTAAGCCGTCTCTCTTATACATGCATTTCTTTTATTGATTAAATACATATTTTGATATAATATGCACATGTAGGATTTTCCCACCAGCTTTCATTTTATAACTGCAGATTACGTAGAATTGTCCTTCCACCAAGAAGATAAACTTTTTTGCCATAACATTTTTTTTCCCACAATGTCGTTTAAGTAAAGGTTTACCTCCCAATTAAAAATCTTAAATTTCTTTCCAAAGTGGGATTAACTACAAAGGCAAACCTATATTGTATTATTTATTGCTGTTGTTATTACTGAAATGAGCCAGATTTTTTTTTTAAAAAAAAAGTCTGATTTCTTAAACAATTTAATAAGAACCTACTTTTGAAAGAGCGGTCCCGCTTATGTTAAAATTAATTTTTGAATTTAAATTTAAATAATTTAATGACGCGGCTCTTTTCCTGGCTACAAAATAAAAGTAAGTAAGGTTAAAAACGTGCCGGTTACTTTTTTTTTTATGACCCTAGGAAGTGAGCACAAATATAAATACAGCCCTTGTCTGTATATGTTTCAAATCTCGGTTAAGTACATCCAAGGTGTACAATTTAATTTCCCTCCATCAACATCCACCCAATGCTGACAGGTTAAATTGCTTTAACTTTGAAAAGTAGGTCAGTGGGTCAGCAGTGCAGCACCTGAGCTAAAAAATTAAAGGGAAAGTTGTAAATTAGCACAGGATGTGTTTTTTTCCCTTCCCACAGCAAGTTTCTCTGGAATATGCCCATGTATGTCAGTGCAAATATTCACTCCAGTACAACCTGCTTGGGCTGGATCACGTGGCTAGAAATTCACTTTATACAGTCTAACCAGAGATCTGGGTTTTGGGTGGAGGTATCAGGCAAGGAGTTTGTGAAACAGGCCGGTCTCTCTTCAGTTAACACATCAAAGTTAGTTTTGTTAAAATGGGGCATTTAAGGGTTTGCTAATTCTGCACTCTTTGACTAAATTTGTATCATCGCATTATTACTGGAGCGTGACTTTCTCCTCGTGATGCGGTGAATTCTTAAGTAGATATAACATTAAAACCATTGGGGTAATTTTCTCCTACTTATGTCAGCAGCTTTAGGCAATTAGATCATTATATTCCAAAAATTAGTTTTTCATACAACAATGTGGTTTCGGATTTTTGCAAACCCTCCCTTGTCTTGATATGAAACATTAGGGAGTGGTTAAAAGTAGTTATTTAGAAGGAGTTTATAAAAGGATACAAGTACGTTGTATATTTCGGATGATTTGTGTCCCAAGTTATTCATGGATATATATATATATATATAATCCAGGGGTGTTCAAACTTGGCAGCTTTAAGACTTGTGGACTTCAACTCCCAGGATTCCTCCTCTCGCTCTTCATCTTGATGATGGGGGGTGGGAGGGAGCTGGAACCGGTTCTAAATGGCACTGTAGATTTGTGGAACTTCTTCTATAGAAGAGGTTAGAACTGGCAGGAACCCACCCCTGCCTCTATCCATCTATACAATTTTAAAAACTAGATGAAGAGAATGAGAAAATGTCACTTATGTGCACATGTTAGACTGGATGTCCATCAATGGATCAGGGCCATTGACCATGGCTGTTAGTGTTGGACAAATCCTAGTTTAACTATGTTGCAATGTAGGATTATATACGCCCACTATTATAGTGGTTGAACCAATAAATGGCTTTACTACAATTTCATTCTGCAGAACTAAAAAAAAAAACACTTTGTTGGCAGTTGTCATGCAAATATATTTTAAAATCAACTGCCTATGTATCTTTAAGCCTTGAATATTTTCAGGTTTAATGAATCTCAGCTAACAGCCTAGAGTTTTTTTTGTTGGGCTGTGGAATTCTGGGAACTGAAGTCCACACATCTTAAAAGTTTCTGAAACTAAAAAAAAAAAGAGGTTTAGACTTTAGTAAAACCTTTTTCACTAGAGAGACCAGAGATTTATTTATTTATTTATTTATTTATTTATTTATTTATTTATTTATTTATTTATTTATTTATTTATTTATTTATTTNTGGGGGCAATATGCTGACTCTCTGTAAACCGCTTAGAGAGGGCTGAAAGCCCTATGAAGCGGTATATAAGTCTAACTGCTATTGCTATTGCTAAACATGGACTTTAGGGAGGACGGTCTTCCACAGGTCAGGGGACAGAAGTGATATCTCCCACTAGGTCCCACAAGATGAACATTATTTTGCAGAATGAATTTGCCCCACACCCACACTGTTATGAGAAAAAGCAGAAACCGCTAAAAGAAGACAGCCTCTTTAAATATTCTGGGCCCATGCCACGAAGGACTTCGAAGACGATAACCAGGGCCTTGAAATGGACCCAGAAATCTTCTGGAGTCTATCGTGTAGCTCAGATAGCATAGCAGCTGCAGCTTACAAATCCTTTTCAAGGACAACCTCATGCAAATAAAACAGTCAAACAGGGAAGTGACTGAGGCATGAGTAATTAAGAACACGGTTTCTCAACCCAGGAACAAGTGCAACTTGCTCACAGATGGATGGATGCCACCTGTCACCTAAAACAGCCTAGGGTGACCCCAGATTTTGTACCAAGTCAGTACGAGGAGGGAGTGGTATCCTATCCAAAGTTAGCAATGTAAAGTCTCCGGATCTGTGGGGCCCATAAAAACCCATATCCCCTTCGCCTTGCTTGGTTGAGAGACAGAGCCTGTTCTTCCCCCATCCAGATTTGCACAGCCTCCCGGCGCCAGAATACAACCTGGGCAGAAAACAACGCGGTCCGCCCATGGTCAAGTTGTATATATAGAGTACCGATGACCCTTAACCTCATGCCAAGGCAGACTTTCACGGTGATCTTTGGGAAGGGACATTTTCCATTGCCCAGAAACAATTTGCTTTACCCTATGCAGCACCTGCCCCCCCAGCTTGAAGGCCATGAGCCTGAACACTTTGGCAAGTTGATCACATCTTTGGGGCATGCCACTCAGTAGTGGGATTCAGGCGGTTCGCACCTATTCGGGAGAACCGGTTGGTAACTTTCTAAGCAGTTCAGAGAACCGGTTGTTGGAAGAAATCTCCTTTTGTTTTTTCCCCCACTTTACAGGGCTAATCCTGTAAGGAAGGTAGGAAAGAAACATTCTGGTGTTGTTGTTTCTAGTCTAATCTTTATTGCCCTGCTTACAGAAACTGCCTCTCCGGTTAACCCTTATTACCATTGTAACAACTAAGGCCCATCGAGTGACATTGACTTGGCCACGCCCACATGATCACATGACCACCGAGCCCCGCCTATCCAGCTGGTCATTAGGGCAGAGAACTGGTTGGTAAATTATTTGAATCCCACCATTGATGTATACTCTCTCTGAAGGCCCTTTACAGCTTATTGAGAAATCTTAGAAAACAGCCAGGAGTGGATTTGGAGTGGATGATAACCTCTCTCCAGTCATGAGGAAGAACAGGCGCTCTTCTAGAGATGACCCAACACTAGGTGCCCTAGAGCAGTGTTTCCCAAAGTGTGGTACGC